ACTCAGCCATTTCACTGAATGTTACTTTTTAGCTTCGGGATCATGCACCGTGTTTGTGATGTATATACCAAGTACAGTAATGACTGTTCATGAACAGAAGTATGTGGAAAAATTTTGCTTCTATTCCCAAACTCTGCACCAGGTAACCAGCAGGACCATGGCATTTTCTCCACACAAACCTGGACAGGGCCAGCTTCCTGTTTCTGATATGCAGTTGTGGCCTCTCTCACTGAGATCAAGGTAGCAGACAGACCTGCCCACACTTGCTCTGAGGCTTTGCTGTGTGCTTTTAGGAAATGCAGCACTGTCCAGTGTTATTCAGTCCAGCCTGGCTCCAAAGTGCAGAACAATCTAGTAAGAAGAAAGTTTGGGGAAAAGTATGCGTTGGATTGAAGAACCAAACTTTAGGAAAGCAGGAGCATTGTATTCAGCTGAGCAATCTGGTATCAGAGTACAATCTAAACTATTTTGAAGAATGAAGACTCTATCAAAGGAATTGATATGGCAAAAAGAGTAATAATGTTAACCAAGCAGAAGACACGAGTGTTGGAAGACAGAAAAATCTTTATGTGCATGGCTGGCTGAGAAACAGGGTACGACATGAGTGAAGCTACAGTCTGCAAAGAAACCAGGAGATTGCACAGTGCTTGCCTATAAGAAAGCCCCTCTATAGTGCAACATGTGATGAATTTAAAGCCAGTAGAGTGTGGTTTAATAAATACTGCAAGGGAAGGAGCATGCACACTGTGATAAGGCATGGTGAGGCTTTCAGTTCTGACAAGGCCACTACAGAAGCTGATAAAGAATTTGTGGAATTCATGAAGGCAGAAGGGTGCATTGCTCAACAAGTGTTTCTCTTTGATGAGACAGGGGTCTTCTGGGAGAAGATACTAAACAGAACCCTTATCATCCAGGATTAGAAGGCCCTGATGGGGTACAGGCCCATGAAGGCAAGACTGACTCTTTGGCAAACAAAACCCATGTGTGAGTGCAGGCACTGACCTGAAGTTTAGGCCACTACTGGTGAACTATTCCCAGACTCCTTGTGTATCCAAGCAGCAGAATGTGAGCAAGGTGAGATTGCCTGTCATGGAGAGGCTTAGTGCAAAAATCTTAGGAATAAGGCAATTGTTCGCGGGATGGCTACCCAAGGTGCACACACCCACCATTAAGAGATATCTTTCTGGCAACCAACAGCCTGAAAAGTGTCTTCTTCAGGTGCAAATGCCCTGGCACTCTCCAGCCTTGGTGGGTGATATGGAAATCGAGTTTGACTTCATAAAGGCCAAGTTCTCCCTTTGCCCCAAACAGGACACCTTTTCTGCAGCCCATGTACTGCAAGGTGATCTGTAATTTCAAGAAGTTGTACACAAAAGTGCTCTTTACCGGGTGTCTTAATGTCACTGAAGGGACATTCTGGACTCTGAAAGAGTTCTGGAAGAAACATTTCAATGTCCTGTAGGCATAAACTTCATGTGTAAACCAGGGAGGATGTCACACACCAAACCTTAAACTCAGCCTGGAGGAAAATGTGGCCAGCATATGTCACTGAAGGTGACGTTGAAGGTTGTGGTACACAGGCTGTGGGGGATTATGATGGTGAAGACATAAAGGAGCTTTCTGAGGACCATAAGGAGAAGCTGATGGTAGAAAAACTCCAGAATAAGCAGCAGAAGTTGCTTAAGGAGCATTGCACTGAGAAGAACAGTGAGGAGACTGGCGATGATGTGATAAAATCCATTATGGAAAAATGGGGTGAGTACTAGGATTTTTTAAGAAGCACCATCCCACATAACTATATGACCAGTGTGTTGAATTTGATTAATGACAATGTGGTCTCTCAATTCCAGAGGATTATTCAATGAAAGAGAAAACAAGTGACAATAGAAAAAGTTCTCATCAAAATTCACCTACAGAGGGCTGGGTTGATAGCTCAGTGGCTTAAGCACCTGCTTGGCAAGTTCAAGGTACTGAGTTTGAGCCCCAGTACCAAAAAAAAAAAAAAAAAAAAAAAAAAATTGACATACAGGTAAGAGATGGAGAGGAAACCCCTAGAGGAGATGTCCCAAGGTCCTTATGGAGGGGACCCTTCCTCCAAAGACTAAGCTCCTCTCTACCTAGCTTCCTGGCCTCCAAGCCAGGAGTCACCTCAGGGAGGCTAGTGTTCTTTCTTCATTTGATTTACTTTTTTATGGCTGAACATATACAATTGGTTCAGAATAGAGTAGGTTAACCTTCTTTACATCAAACCTTATAGGAAATTTGATTCAGTTCATGGTCAGAATCATGGAGTGAATTAGGTTCATAAACCAAGGTATTGCTGTAATTAATTTGTCTTTTAATTGTATACGTGTGTACGTCTGTCTTCTTCCCCATAGCTGGTTTGCAAGCTCAGTTTCTGGAACACAGCAGACACTAGATGAGTAACACTAAGTAAATAAATAAACAGGAAGAAAATAAAATCTAATATTGAGTGAAGGACACAACCAAAAACAAAACTGGCTCATAAATTGGACAGCATAGATAGCTAAGCACGTGACTGATTAACCCCTATACAATTCCTGATACACTTTTAACTTAAAAGAAAGAATCTGTGTCTGTGACCATATATTTTCAAGCTTATACAATGGAGCAAAAAGTGGAGATTTCATAGGGTTTGGTGTTATCTTGGGCTACTTTATACAGAAATACATTGCTGCAGCTTAAATTCTGACTGTGTGAGAATGCCATGACTCAAAAGAAAGACAGAAAGAGAGAGAGAGAGAGAGA